GGTGTGGAATTGGAAGATAAAAATCTGATGAACTTCTGAAGCATAAAGGCGAGCTTTCTATCAGGTTTAAGTTGAGTTTCAGTACAAGTTCTGGCCAAGGGTGCGCCTGGAAAGTGGGTCATAAAATGGATTACCATTAAGTATATTGGGTTTTATTGGGAAACAAATGGAGGGGATCATTACTGAACAGCAAGTAATTCCAGATTTACCCAGCAGAATATCACAAATATCACAGATATCACAAATAACAGTAACCGTTTGAAATACTCGTTATGTTTCATCTCCTGCCAAATGTGTATCATGATGCTGTGCCTGTTGGTTAAACAAATGGTCCCAATATCCATATTAACTTAATAGAGATGTGAAGTCCCACATTCACAATAAAAACAAATGCCACATACTCAGTGGGGGTGCTTGGCTGGACAGCAGTTTACGTAAAAACTTAAGGACCTGTGTTGGTAAATGGGCAGCTGTGGTAAGCCACGAGGCTCCGGGAGACCCCGGTAAGTTGGCTGTTCCCTGGGCCAGGACGGTATAATTGGAAGTGCGCGTGCGCCGCGAAGCTACACATCCGCTTCCTGGTATCGTATACCCTCAACGTGGGGACTGTTCATGTGTGAGCGGGAATACTCCCGCACCATGTGTGGTGGTAAACATCCATGAACTCGGAATTGAATATCTACGTGGAGGAGTATTCATACAATTAATTAAAGTGAATGAAATAGATCTTAAAGATGTTGAGTTTTGGGGCGCCTGCGTGGCTCAGTCGTTAGGCGTCTGCCTTCGGCTCAGGTCATGGTCCCAGGCTCCTGGGATTGAGCCCCGCATCCGGCTCTCTGCTCAGTGGGAAGCCTGCTTCTCCCTCTCCCACTCCCCCTGCTTGTGTTCCCTCTCTCGCTCTCTTTCTATCAAATAAATAAATCAAATCTTAAAAAAAAAAGATGTTGAGTTTTTTTAAAAAGCAAGCTGCAAAAAAGTATGGACAATCCAATACCATTTGTGTAAATTTTTTAAATTCGCAAAACAAACATAGTCAAAGCATAAGAACATAGATGGGAGCAATTCATATCAACCTCAGGGGAGAGGGATGGAGAACAGGATGGAGGGCTTTGGTTGGATTGCTTGTATTCCATTTTTTTTAATATTTTTTAAAAAACAGCAGAAAGTGTTAAATCTGTTATGTTTGACTAGTGGGCTCATGCCTGTGTGTTGTATTATTTTCTATACTTTTACTGTATGTTTGAATTGTTTTATAACTTTAAAAGAAAGTATTTTGAACACATAAGCATGGTTAACTAAATTTTTTTAAGGATTTATTTATTTATTTGAGAGAGAGAGTACAAGCACGTGGGGTGGAGGGAGCGGGGAGGGGCAGCAGGAGAAGAGAGAGAATCTCAAGCAGACTCCCTGCTAAGCAGGAAGCCCGATGGGGCTTGATCCCAGGACCCTGAGATCATGACCTGAGCTGAAACCAAGAGTCAGCCGCCTAACCGACTGAGCCACCCAGGCGCCTCACATGGTTAACTAAATGTTAAATATTTAGCTTCCTCTAAATTTATGTTTAAAAAGGATATTATAAATAAAGTCATATAGTCTATTAAATAGATTTCAGAAAACTAGAAAAAAATAAATAACTCAGACTCTCATCACTCAAAACAGCCCTTGTTAATGTTTTGGTCTATTTCCTCCCATGTTTTCCCTTGTGTGGGTGCTTGTGTGTTTAAACATACTTCTCAGCATCTTGGGTACACATATTGAATTCTGCCTTTTTTGCTCATTATAGTATCACCCTTTTTCCATGTTATGACTTAGACTCCATGAACATCATTTCTGTTGACTTCCATTAAACATCGTCCACAGCTTGCTCAACCAACACCATTTTTGCATAAAACCAGGAACGTTCAGCAGTCACACAGCCCCGTGTTTGTAAACATAATCCCTTTGAAAGCTTCAGGAACAGGATTGGGTCATGCTCTCTGTTGATTTCTACAAGGCTGTTTTGTGTGGGATGATAGTAAAAAGGTCTGTCACATCTGTGATATCACACTCCCAGGAAGACAGAGCTTGTCGGCATTCATCCCGTGGGTTGGAACTGTACATATTTTCAAAGCCAGCTCTGTATATCTTGCCTGACAGGAAACAAGTGCTCGTACATCCTTGTACATCCAGCATCTGGTCTGGATTCCTGAGCCTGCAGCTGGGGGAGTATTTGCTGATCCTGTTAAACTCTTGTTTTGAGGCCAGAGGTTATAGCAGAAATAATTATTCCAGATATTTATGTGCCCCTTCCTGGCTTGCAGATGCTCTCACATCCATTGCCACTGGATCATCTCTGGGCCCCCAGGAGGTGAGGTGCAGAGTGGGCACCCAGCTGGCCCTGGATTCCAGCCAGTAAGTGGGAAAGTCAGCACCACCGTCCTGGGACACCTACCAGAACTCTTCAGTTACTGTCCTTAGACTCAGGCAAGAGGGGCCATGTCTGCCCAGAGCCCATTGTCCTCTTCTAGACTCAGGATCCCTGGAATTCCGTAACGAATGGTCCTGGGCACTTCTAGGACCTATGAAAGCTTGAATCCGTCCTCTTGGGGGCCAGACTACCAGTGTGTGCACGCCTGGGTCCAAGGGCAGCATTTTGCAGGTAGTGAGCAGATCTTAGACCCGCAGGCTGCAGGATGAACCCCAGGGTCAGGGGTGTGAGCTGGAGGCAGGTGCAAAGGCTGAAGGCCAACATCCCCTGCAATGTAGCTCAGAGCTACAAGGACTCCCAAGAGCTCTAAATTCAGGCCTGGCCTTCTCAGCCATACATTTGTCAGAGTAGTAGGAGGATAGAATGTATTCTGTGTAACAGCTTGATCTGTAACTTTTAACTATTTAGAGATTCACCACATGGACTCCTTTTCTACTCTTGCTCTGGGACCCACAGATCTTAAGAAAAGTCTTGGCTCTCTTATCATACTGTGCTGTTTCCAGGTCCCCCTTTTTCTATCCAAGGCCACACACATACTGAGGGGACCGCAAAGGAAAGCCATCTAGAACCAATAAAACAAGTGTATAAAATAAATAAAACAATTTAGTGTATAATTCCCAATATCCGACACACCCCATGTCCACGTGTAAAGGCAAGAAATGCATTTCGGGGCAGAAGAGAGTACAACCACCTGCTGCAAGGATGAATCAGCCTGGCAGATCCAGCCAGATCACAAATAGAAGCCAACTAGTAAAGCTAAATCTGCTGCTCCTCCCCTTCCCTCATTTCCCTGCCACCTCACCCCCATCCCGGTTCCCCCTTTGTGTACCGCAGAACTACCGCCCTCTCTTGGTTGTTTTAAGCCATCCAAGAAGTGGGATCCCTGACATCTTGACAACATGGAGAGTTTTCTCCCTGGCCAAGTCAGGGTCAGCGTGGAAAATCTGTGTTGCAAGAGTTTTCATTTTAATTGGTGTTTGGCCACTGAACTGAATTTTTTTTCAGCTCCCCATTCCCCAGCAATATTTCCGATTTGTGATCAAGGATTTGACTAGAGAAGCATGAAATCATTAAGACAATTTCATTGTCCTGTTTTTCTCCCCTACAGAAAATGGAGATAAACAGCCAAAGTCTGGATAATTAAACACACATTAGGACAGACTTCACTCCATCCATTTTATTCGAGATGTTTCACTTGACTTCCCCAGCTATCCAGCAAGGAAGCTAATTTAGGTAAAGCTTAGAGAGGTTAAGTAGCTATTATAGTAGCTATTATAGGTAAAGCATCTCAGACAGGTTAAGTAATGTGGCTGAGGTTATCCAGCTGGGAGGTGGCGAGTGGGACTCAAATTTTGGCCCAAGTTGAAGGACAGGTTTTGTCCAAACTTTTACTCATTGGAAAAAGAGAGTCAACTTCTATCAGAGCACTCACAGAGTAGTGGAGACCTCTCTTAATTATTCTATTTTGATGAAGTTTTGTTTGGGAACAACACATTAGCCTGGAACAGCCTTTGGTCAATGCTAGTTCTGGAAGCTTGTGCAGGTCACCCAAACAAACTGGTTTTAAAAAAAGTATGTGTGGGGGAGGTGGATCTTTAATACAGATTTGGTAATTATTCCTGGAGGTATGCTGCTTTTTTTTTTTAATTACAAGTGAGGCTTTTTAAAGATTTCTCTTCAAGTTGGTATCTTGTCTAGATTTGAATAGGATAATTTTTCATTGATAAATCATACAGGGACCTAAAAAGTGCTCTATCTCAAACAAGATAAATGGAAATGAACTAAATGTGCTTGGAAAAATTGACAAAAACCCCCATGTGGAAGGTGCATGTGAAAACTTTGAATAAAATTGTTTCATGAAGGGGCGCCTGGGTGGCTCAGTCAGTTAAGCGTCTTCTGCCTTCAGCTCAGGTCATGATCCCAGAGTCCTGGGAGTCCTGGAATCGAGCACCGCATCGGGCTCCCTGCTCGGTGGGGAGCCTGCTTCTCCCTCTGCCCCTCCCCGAAGCTTGTGCTCTCTATCAAATAAATAAAAAATATTTTAAATAAATAATAAAATTGTTTCATGAAATAGGAGAGAATAAAACAAAATGATATATCCAAATTAACATTTGCTTCGTTAGGATTTAAATACGTCTGAGTGACTAAATAAATATTATAAATAGACACATTACATTAAGCATTGGTTGTGTCATCTATATAGTCCAGTTGGCCAGAATCGTTGGGGGTGGGGGCAGTCTGCTCTTTGGGAAGGAGAGGCTGGCCTCAGGCTCTGGTAACACACAAAGTGGTTTTTCCAAAGCACCGAGCCACACCCCGGGACGAGGAAGAAGCAGGTTTGTGTGCTGGATCCACAGTGGGGGTGAAGGTTACACACTGGGTCCTGCATGTCCAGCTCCTTACAGTTTCCCAAGCGTTGCTGCACTGGGGACTCTTGCTTGATAGGGTCTGTAGTTGGACCCCGTGTCTCCCTGCATCGGTGACTCCCGTGTGGGAAGGGATGTGACAAGACTGCTCTTCCTGTCCCCTGCAGGCGGCGCTAGTTGGAGGAACCACCATGGTCATCGGCCACGTCCTGCCCGATAAGGAGACCTCCCTGGTGGACGCCTACGAGAAGTGCCGGGGTCTGGCCGACCCCAAGGTCTGCTGTGACTACGCCCTGCACGTGGGGATCACCTGGTGGGCACCCAAGGTAACAGTGCTGGCTGGAATCCCAAAAGAAGAATGAATGCTCTCTGAGGCAGAGGGGCAGTCTGGTCGGAGTCGGCTAGGGTGGGGTGCTCTCCCATAGGTGTGGGGACCCCCCACTATCCTAGCCCCCCCAAAATGCCAAAAGAAAAAAAAACACAGATTCCACAAGGGGGTGAGAAGACTTGTTCTTAATTTAAAGGGCCAGTTTTCCATCAGACACAGAAGGCCTAAGAGAGAGGTGTAGGGAGCTCTGAATCCTTGCTCAGCCCACAGCAGCATCTCTCGATGGCAGCGACACCTAAGGGGGCTGCTGCTGAGTAGTGGGCAAGAGTCAGGCTCCAAGGGTCGCGTCGTTTTCGTGCTGGAAGGGACAGCATGGCCCTAAGGGCTCAGAACAGAACAGAGGGTGCTCTCCTGGCTCAGTGCTGCCTGAAACAAATAGACAGGGCCCCTTCTTCCCTCTGGGGGCCCAGCCCCCACTCTGAGAGCCCGGAGGCTGCTCCTGGCACATGGCTGAGGCTGCCTCCCACGGAGCCATTTCTCACTTCAACCTCTGTGGCCTTCACGGCTGGCTTTCCTGTCCTCCCACTGCCCCAGGCCCCAGGGCCACGCCCCGGATTCCCACCTCCTTGCTCTTCCTAAAAACAGATAGGCGTTTAGATTTTGCCTCATTTCTGGAGTTTTACTGCTTATTACCCCAGGGAAGCAGGCTGGGTGTTCGTTCTTTCCTCAATTCTGTATTAATCACCATGTGCCGGTACTTGTGCGGGTGCCCTAGAATCATAAAAAGAAACAAGCATTGGGGCGCCAGGCTGGCTCCGTCGGTAGAGCATGCGGCTCTTGATCTCAAGGCCGTGAGTTCAAACTCCACATTGGTCATGGAGTCTACTTTAAAAAAACAAAACAAAACAACAAGCATTAAGACATTTTACAAAATCCTTCAGCTGTGGAGCCTGTCCTAAAGGGCCTGACTGCCTTCTCAGATGGTAATTAAAAGCCTCGTGTACTTCTGCCCTTGGGTTTTAGCTGTGAGTGTGGGGCTCACCCAGTCTCCTCCGTTATTTCCGACCTGGTCCTTAGGAAAGGCCTCAGAGGCCCCCAAGCCTCACACCATGAAGACCTCCCTCCTGGTATAGGGAAAAGGCGCAGACCACCCTGAATGTCAGCCAGCCCCTACCACAAGTGGGGTTTTGTTTATTTGGACACCCTCCTGGGTGGACAACACTACCCCAAGCTTCTCTATTCCCTCCCCCTCGAGTTGGCCTGGAATAGAGTGTCCATTCCGATTCTCAGTCACACTGAGGCCCGGCCAGCCATCCCTAGGTCCCCGGAGGTTGTGGGGACTTCCATGCCTCTAGAATTTCAAATTCTTTTTTGTTATTATCAAAAAAATTTTTTCTAACTATAGATTTTAAAAATAGGAAAGAAGCCCATCATCTGGTCACCCCCCAACACAACGACTATTGTTTTAGCTTATTTCCTTCCAGTCTTTTTTTCACAGGTGCTTTTTACATAGTAACTCTTTCGCTTAAGCCCGAGCATTTTTTATTTGGCTGCATGGTCTTCATGGAGATAAACTTCAAGCTATTTTCCTATTGTCAGACCAATGTTGCTTCCCTTTTCTCATCCCAGTTTCCAATTTAACATCCTAATAATGTTGGGATGAATCTTCTTATTCACATAGCTTTATTCATATTCCTAAATTCGATTTTTCCCAGGGTCTCAGGATTTTTTTTTTTTTTTTTTTTTTTTAGATTTTATTTTTAGGTAATCTTCATGCCCAACCTGGGGCTCAAACCCACAACCCCAAGATCAAGAGTTGCATGCTCCACTGACTGAGCCAGCCAGGCGCCCCCAGTCTCTGGATTTTTAGCATTATTGTGCCTTCTTTGTAACGCCACTTCCATTATGGGGGCAGGGGGCACAAGCCGTGGGAGTAAAAGCCGTTAGTTAGTGCATTCACCAAGAAGGCTGACTTGGAGTCAGAAACACAGGACAAGCCTCTGGGATAGCAGAAACGTGCCTGGACAGTAACAATATAGGCTATATTTGTGCCACGCTTGACGCTTGACGACTTACCAAGTAGTTCTGCATCGTTTGCTCATGTAACCATACAGCTACCTGTGGGAGGAAAATGAGATCCTGCGAGATGGCGGGGGGTCATACAGTCACTCTGCCGACTGGCCCACATCCCCACCATCCTGAGCCAGCATCCGCCAGCCCGCCTCTTGAACGTCTGTACTCACGAGGCATTGCCTTTGCATTTTGCTCTCCAGGTGAAAGCGGAAATGGAGACACTGGTAAGGGAGAAGGGTGTCAACTCGTTCCAGATGTTCATGACCTACAAAGACTTGTGCATGCTCCGGGACAGTGAGCTTTACCAAGTGTTGCACGCTTGCAAGGACATTGGAGCGATCCCCCGAGTCCATGCTGAGAATGGGGAGCTCGTGGCCGAGGCAAGGCAATAGAGAATATTGGGAAGGGGGGAGGCTGGGGCGCCAATACAAACAGTTCTCAGGGGGACTCCTGACCACCCCCATCACCCATCCCACAATTTCGTTCAGAGAAAATAAGTTATGAAAGAAAGTGTGAGATGTTGACACCCCAGGTGACAAATCTTAGTCAGAAAATCCAAACTTTTCTACTGTCTATGAAACAAAAATCTCTTTACAGTCCAGAATGGTGTCTGAGTCTTAGATAATGATGTCTTAGTTCTAATGATAGGATATTTAAATTCCATTATGGCAAAAGAATTTGGAGCACCTCTAAGAAATATTTTTAAGGAGATTTGACATCAGAATAAATCAGAGTCAGCTCTCTGCTTTCCTGTTACCCCCCTGCCCCCCCAAAAGAGCTGAGATATTATTAGCGATCTCCTCACTGGTAGATGAGCCCCTTTTTACTCCTGGAAATTAAATAGGATACTTGGGTTAATCTAGGTGTTGCTGGAAGCTAGAGATTTGACTAGACTTTCAGTGGGGGCAATTCTGAGTTTCAGACCGATTATCTTGGATGTCCCAAGCCTGTTGGCTAATTACAGAACTGTAATTTTAAGAGGAAAAAATATGTTCAATCCTTATGAAGTGAAACTCAAGAGAGACTTACTGCAAGGGAGCCCTTACTGATTCTGCCCTCTTTGGAAGATGAATACTACAGAAGTAAGAAAAGTAGGAAGCCTATTGGAATGGGCTACGTCCGGCATATTTTAGTGTCCCTGGGGTTTCTGATTTTCTTGTATCTATATGGTTCTCTCAGTTTTCTGTCTTTTATTCAGGGTGCCAAGGAGGCGCTAGATTTGGGTATCACAGGCCCAGAAGGAATCGAGATCAGCCGCCCAGAGGAGGTGAGGAAAACTTTCTGTGCCTCTTGTCAGCCTCTTTCCTATGGATTCATAGACTCTTTAGGATAGAAGAGACATCAGTAAATATAAGTTGTGTATTATCGCTTTCTCCATGGGTGAAATTCTCATCTGAAGCTTTTCAGAGAACACCCTCCTCCCTGCTGAGGTTGACATGGCCTTGAGCTTCCTTGGGAAAGACTATTTGGGGGAAACCAGACCCACCCAATTTGATTCTGATTTCAGGGATCTGAGGGAGACGACGTGAGCACAGAGGGAACTGCTTTCCCCAAAATTGAATGGGGGGCGGGGGGTTGGGGGGGGAGACAGAGTGAAAGGGCCTTTCAGGCGTTAGAAGAAATTCTAGACTATAAGGCAGTGATTCAGCGTTTTCTGAATGACATCCCTTGGAGCATCTGAGGAAAACTTTGGACCCTTCCTGCCGGGAACCAGAGGCACACCCGTGTCCATGCTCTGCCCCTCACTACCCTGTGAGCCACGGTGATGGTAATGAAGAGCCGTCCTTCTAACCTGTGCTTTCATCCTTGCTCAGTGCTGCAGGGCGTCCACACACGTCCCCAGTAGTCCCCCTCCCTGCTGGAGAATTCTCCGGAGGGACCACACTGGACTTCTGGTCCTGTGACCCTGTTCAGACATCCTCCACCATTCGTGAGGAGAAAGCTATTTTCCATTTCTTCAAAGCCTTCAGTGCAGAGTGGTGGCTGCATGTCCCTGAGGAACGAGGAGCCAGAGACAGGATGTGAGGGCACTGCCATCAGATCGACAAGGCCCTGGGTGTGCCTGTGAGAACGGGAGTGGGCGGGTGAGCACAGGACTGGGCTTTGCTCAGTTATGGGAGGGCAAGAGCAAGGCTTTGACTGTAGGATATTAATAGCATGAGTCATCACCGTCATGGCCTAGTGGTTAAAGGCTCCACGCCAGGAGAGACTTTGCTCTCCGGAGGACCTTGGGCAACGCCTAGCGATGTTTTCGGTTGTCCCACCTGGGGGTGGCACCGCTGGCCTCTAGTGGGTAGAGGTGAGGGATGCTGCTTCTGGATCCCACGGTGCCCAGACAGCTCCCACCATGAAGAATTACCTGACTCAGAGCGTCCGCAGCGCCAAGGTTCGGAAACCCTGGTCTGGGTTAATGTCCAGTTTGGTATTCGTGGGCACCGTTCCTTTGCTACCATGCTGAGGTGGCTGTGGAGAGAATACACCAGAAAACACGGAGAGATGGGAATCTAGGTTTCCGTTTGCTTTTGTTTTGTTGCCTTTTACTTAAGGCCTGAGGAGCATCCAGCGAGGATATGCCTGGTGCTAAGTTCTCCGATTGCCTCAGGGGGAGCAGAGTGGTTGGAGCTTGGTGCTCTTGGGATGCAGCCCCTATGGGTACAGTGGACCCTTTCAGCTCTGTGTTGGATATTCCAGAACTTTCTACAAAGTGGGCTCTTGAGCAGATGTGGGCTTGCTTGGGAGAGATGGTGAAGCTTGTTTTCTTCCGGTACTTTTTTTCTAACAGTTGGAAGCTGAAGCCACTCACCGAGTTATCACCATTGCAAACAGGGTAAGTGGACCCCGGCTTGCCCTCAACCTATTCTTGACTCTGGGATCAGAAGCCAGACCCTTCAGTCTACACGGTGGAGTCCCATTCTGCCCTGGCTGCCAACACCATGCCTGACTCGCAGGACCCAAGAACCGTTGGCTGGGTGAATGTTGTTACTCCCACAGACCTGGTGCCTAGGTCCTTGCTGCCAGTTCTCTATTCCACCCCCTTGAGTTTGCTGAGTCTGGCTTCACTGCTCAAGTGGAAATGGCTCCCATGGGAGGCAGGTGGGTTCGGGGGCCACAGAACCTCCCTGCAACTGAACTCTGCTTCCTGTAGAGGAATTCGGTAGATATTCACTTAAACCTCCACCTCTGGACCACTTAGAAGTTTTCCTTGGTATCGCTCAGGGTCTGGGGGTGCAGGTGCAGTGTGGTGATGGGAACCGAGCAAGGGATGTGAGGCCTTTACCAAATACAAGCTCTCAGGTGTATGCAAGTCACTCAACCACTCTGCTGTACTATTTTGTTATCTAAAATTGGAATGGTAATATCACTTCTCACAGGATGGTTGTGAGGCTCAAAGGGGGCAGAGCAGGAAAGGCAGTTTATAAACAGCAGAGCCCTAGACCAAGGTTATTTCTCCTTCTAAATGATCAATAAAGAGTTCAATTTGCTCAGAGAATCTGAACCGTAGCATCTAGAACACCGGTTTTCTAAGCGTGGTGCCTGGACCAGCAGCATCAGCATTTGTTGGGAGTTTAGAAATGCAGATTCTCGGGCCCATGCAGACCTATTGAATCAGAAACGGGGCATGATGCCCAGCCATCTGTTTTCAATAGCCCACCCCTGATTCTAGTGGGCACTAATGCTCCAGAACCTCTCCTCTGGAAAGACACGGACTCCCTCCAAGGGTGTAAGCCTGAGGGGTGGTGTTAGGAACACCAGGGAAAACACAGAGGTTGGAGGTCCAGCAGATCTCAGAATCAGACAGTAAAGTTGTGCCAAGCACATGACCTGTCGGGCCAGTTCCTAAGCTCTCTGTCCTCTCATTTGATAAGCAGAGTAGGCATCGGAATAACATTTGGGAAAAGTTTCCCGTTAGCAATTTACAATGGACAGGGCTATTGTTTTACTGGCATAATGAGAATTACAATATCAATTACTCCCTGATGGAAACCCCAGAGTAAGGACAGATCTGAACAACACAAGTCCAGCTTCCTATTTTTTAGTTCAAACATATGCCCAGAGAAGCAAAGACATGGATCTTTGTCGTCCAGCTCAGCAAAGGAGAAGCTCATCAATGCTACAATCCAGGTGTCCATTTGTAAGACCAGTCCCGTCTGACATGGACCCTGAACCCTGAACTTCCTGTATTTTGTTTCTTGTCCAGGGTGCATTCTGTCTACTGATAAAGCAGCCCTCATATAGCAGGCTTTGTCATTTTAGATGCGGAGTGTAATCCACGACTGTCTCTAGGTCCTCACACCCGTGAACAGAAAACAGTCCCTTGTTTTAAGTTATAAATCATCTTGATTGCGGCTGACCGCTTGCCCTGACATTCCCACTTGACTCTGGGGCTGGGTGCTGCCTGCCTCCTCCCTGCTTCACACAGTCCGTGCTCTGGCCGCCAGCCCCGCATTCCCGGTGGAAGACCCTCACCCTGAGAGTGGGGCTGAGAGATGCAGGGGAAGGTGCTGCGGCCAGCACTGGTTTGGCTGCGGCTGCGCTTTTGCTTGGCAGGTTCATGGCATTGATGCGCTCTCCTTCCCGCTGGGTTTCCTTATTTAGACTCACTGCCCGATCTACCTGGTCAACGTGTCCAGCATCTCGGCCGGTGAGGTTATCGCAGCTGCTAAGATGCAAGGTGAGTCCCGGGGCTGGAATGGACATGCACATGTGTGGTGGGATTGCAGCCCCACGGGGCCCGCCAGCCCAGGGGCCCAGTGTACGCCCTGCTGTCTCCTGTCACCCTCGGAAGCACTCCGCTCTAGCCTGGGTCCAGTGCGTTAGAACCACTGTTTTCCTCTGCACATCTGTCTGCCTAACAGCTTTACGGAAGTGTCTGTCACCTCCCCTGGGTCTGGTCAAATTTTCCAAGTTTTCAGGCAACTCCTTAATTGCTATCTTTTTTGGCTTCTTGGGTTTTACTAGCGGTTGCCTCGGTAACCGACATAAAATCCTGGACCAGTTCCAATGGACGTTTCAGGGGATGCTTGGGAAGTCCCTGGAGGAATAACAGCATCTGAGCCCAACTTCCCTCACAGCCCCCCCCCACCCCCGACCCCCGGCACCCCGCATACAAGCCCCGGGGCACCTGTGTTTCTGCTATTGCTGAGCACCCGGCAGCACCTGGAGGTTTTTATCTGTGCTTGTGGTCTTGGCCGGCTCAGGGTGCCAGCGAGGTCCTGCTACCAGGAGAAACCAAGGCATGGTCACAGACCTGGGGCTATAGATCAGAGCAAGGGCTCCCAGCCTTCTGGCAGGACGGCCTGCGAGATCCTGCCCCCTCCTGCCCCGTCCCGCCACTCCCCTCCTGGGAGCCCCTGGCCTGTCTCACCTGCCCTGTTGCCCCTCCTTCCTCCCAGCAGCGCCCCGCGGCCCCTGAGCTCCAGCCAAGCCGCGCTCCTCCAAGTGCGGCACTGCCCCTCCTCGGCGCCCCTGCCCTTCTGTTCTTGCCTGGAGCCAGCCTGGCGAGATGCAGCGCTCTGGCCTTGAACCCAGCTGTGCTCTCAGACACCCTCGTGAGCTCGGGCAAGTCCCTTCCTCTCTGACTTCAGCTCCTTCAGCGAGGACCATTCAGACCAATGGTCTCTCAGTTCAGTTGGCTTCCTACTCATGCTCTGACCTCTCTCCTTGCAGGGAAGGTTGTGCTGGCCGAGACCACCACGGCGCATGCCACGCTGACCGGCTTACACTACTACCACCAGGACTGGTCCCACGCGGCCGCCTACGTCACGGTGCCTCCGCTGAGACTGGACACCAACACCTCAACCTACCTCATGAGCCTGCTGGCCAAGTAAGGCGCTTCCGCCGAACACTGTGGCCCCAGAGCACAGCACTAACTCGTAATAGGCGCCTTCCCGGGAATTTACGCATCTTCACCGTGATGTCCTCGCGGCCCCAAATCTGACCTAGAGTTACTTTCGTTGTGCCCGTGGGATGACTTGGCCCTGGTGACCCTCTCCGGGGCCCGTCAGATAACTGCCACCCTATGGGGCTTCGCTGACCACTCGATTTGGAGTGAGAGCTTCCGAAGTGTAAGAGGCAAGAGCAGCCTATAGAAAAGCGTGAACAGTGGTGATTCAGAATTTCAAGGGACATTGCTTTTTATGCTGAAGACCACTGCAGGGCTGTGGGATGTGGCCTCTGGCGGTTCTAGAATGTATGTGGGCCTTTCTGTCTCTTTGTTCTTCCCCTCTCCCTCCTCTCGTTGTTTTGCAGCAGTGTCTCCCCACGTGTCTCCCTCCTTTCTTTCCTCTCTTCCCTCTGTCTTCTGTCCTCTCTCCCTCTTTCCCGTCATCCTCCCCTTCCAGATCTCCTTTTCTCCAGCTTCTTTTTTTCTAACACTACTTTTCCCCATGTGATCCGAATCTAAAGGCAAAAGTTTAACCAACAGGTTGAATTCAGAGGGAAACAAACATGAAAAGCTTTTGTTTGCAGCTTCTTTCTTTCCTATAGTAACATTTTGGGTAGAATCCATTGCTTTCTCTCCCTTTTGGTTACTAACGTTCAGTCTAGTTTAAATGTCCATCTCCTCCCTTCCCCACGCCCAGTTCGGGGCTGGGGGATTCTTCTCCATGCCCAAGCACCAGCCTGTACTCCTGCTTCTCAGGCAGAAAGGGGCTGGCCTTTGGGGCCCTCGCTGGGCACGGTACATGGCCAGCGTGGGCTCTCTTGTGCCTCCCTCACACAATCCCCTGCTCCAGGAGATGGGGTCCAGCTTGACCTCTTCCTCCTGCATCTTCCTAGCTTCCAGAGCTAGCGGTGTCCCTGCAAACAAGGACCCTGGAAGGCAGCTCAAGCCTGGCCACCTTCTACAGGGTCTGGGGCCCAGCGAGAGCTCTCCCGGCTTTGCCACTCTCCACAGCGGGAGGGCAGACTGTTCCCACTGGCTCTCCTCACCCAGGGGCTCAGGGCAGGTCCACAAACCCACCTCCCAGGCAAAGGCCCACTGCGATCACCTCCGCTCTCTGTGGGTGAACCTGTTGAAATGTGCCCTCCCTGACTGCTAGGAGAGAGAGTAGGGAAGCCCACTCAAACCATGAAAAGAAGGAGGAAGGAAAGACAACGGGACTCTCCATTCTGCAACACCTCAGTCTCCCTGCCTACCCTCTGCTTTTATACACCTGGGGGTGGTGATAGGCCTCTTCTCTTCTAGGGTGATGGTGGGGATGACTGAGGGAAGTGGCCAGCCCCGACTGAAGGTGGCTGAGAGCAGAAATGCCAGATCAGCTCTTACTTTTAAAGATGCTTTTCAGGGGCGCCTGGGTGGTTCAGTCAGTTAAGCGTCAGACTCTTGATCTCAAAGTCGTGAGTTCAAGCCCTGTAGAGCCTACTTTAAAAAAAAAAAAAAAAAAAAAGCTTTTCCTTGGGAAAAACCAGCCTCCTTTTCATCATTATCAACACAACAAAAACAAACATGTATCAAGAGCCCACTATAATACTTTGGGTTCAGTTCCAAGGTCAAAAAATCTTTTGAAATACCTGCTTGCCACAGGCAATTTAACTGAAAGAACAGAAAGGTGGTAAGTGCCCCCACCCACCCAAATTCAACTAGGCTGGGGGATAAAGAGTACTATTAATTGAATAATTTAAGTTTTTATGTCTAGCCTATTTTTAATCTAAATTATGTAAATAAATTCGCTCAAGTCAAATTGTAATTTCATGTGAACCATTATGAGAATAGTTTCAATTCCTTTTTAAAATCAGTGCATATTATTAAAAACTGCAATTTTATAGAATTTGGAGCATTGTTTTAACATTCTCATGATTCACAGGAATTTATGGTTACTTTCTTTTTGTCTTTAGGGCGCACTGTTGGTGATAAATGATATTATACAGAATACTTGATTGAAAACCCAGACACCATTTATCATAATCCTATAAGAGAATCTGTGCTGCTTCATCATGATCTACTTTAGGATATGATTTTTTATATGTCAGTGTAAAAACCATAATCTATGGATGGGAGGATTTATCTTTTATTTAAAATCTAATTTCTTTTTCCTTTTTTTTTTTTCTTTTTTTATTGAAGTACAGTTGAAACAGGATGCGACATTAGTTTCAGGAGTACAACAGTGATCCGACAGCTCTGGGGGTTACGCTGGGCTCACAAGTGTAGCTATGATCTGTCACCATGCACCACCATTGCAGTACCACTGACTAGATGCCCCGTGCTGTGCCTTCCTTCCTGGTGACTTACTCATTCCAGAACTGGAAGCCTGTACCGCCCCTACCCTTCACGCATTGTGCCCATCCCGCCACCCCCCTCCCTTCTGGCAACCATCAGTTCATTCTCTGTGTAAAATCTCATTTTTTAAAAGGGCCAGAAGTTTTTTCATTTGAATATATAAAATTTCAAAGGACCTCACAAAGCCAGTCATGTTTGAAAGTTTGGTTTTTTTTTTAAGATTTTATTTATTTGACAGAGAGAGAGACACAGTGAAAGAGGGAACATAAGCAGAGGGAGTGGGAGAGGGAGAAGCAGACACCCTGCTGAACAAGGAGCCCGAGGCGGGGCTTGATCCCAGGACCCTGGGATCACGACCCGAGCCAAAGGCAGACGCCCATCGACTGAGCCACCCAGGTGCCCCTGAAACTTTAGAGTATGGTTGGGTGTGTCATATCTCCTAGATTCAGGGCAGCACTAGGTGACCTCAAAAGCCCCTCTGGAGGGGGTACCTGGGGGGCTCAGTCAGTTAAGCATCTGCCTTCGGCTCAGCTCATGATCCCAGGGTCCTGGGATGCAGCCCTGCGTCATCCTCCCTCTCCTTCTGCCGCTCCTCCCACAACCCCTGCTCATGCTCTCGCTCCCTCTCAAATAAATAAATAATAAATCTTAAAAAAAAAAAAACCTGGAATGTGACCACATTATTCACACCTGCCCCAAGGGCACCTACTTGTGTGGGAATCTCTTTTGAAGGTGGGTGCTCAGTAAGACTTGGTTGAAGAATGGGAGTTGAGGTCCCTAACCCTCCGCTGGTGACTCTAACAAGCACCTCTTCTCCTCTGATCCCTGCCTGAGCGTCTGGAAGACCCCTGAGAAGAAGGTGAAACTTTGTTGGGTTCTGCAGGCCCAGGGAACGTGGGCAGCCCTGAGACACCCTAGAACAAACTGTCTGCTGTGTGGAGAGTCCCTCCCGCAGTCTCTCAGAGCAGCAGCTTTGGCTAAGGAAGACACCAGCCCATGCCTCAGGAAGAACTCAGTCATCTCACTGTGGATCTGGCCAACATTTGGCAACAGTTGTGACTGATGAGCCCTGCCAGGCCCCCGGGAGAGACAGCCCAACATGCAGCCTGACCCCGAATCATCTGAGGGCCTTACAAATATGGTCACCAAGCCAGTGAATGCCTTCTCTCAGATTCCCCTTCTGACTCGAGCAGCCATCATGGCCCACAGGCACTCCCCAGGCTTTTTCAGCTCCTACAAATCAGATTCTCAGGGCTCCTGCTGTGTGGTCCCAGCAGTTGTCCCCCTCTCCCACGTGACGCCCATGCTCCAGCCTGCACCCTGCCTGCCCTCCAACAGTGTTTCTTCCTGAGGTTGCCCCAGCCTGGGCAGCGTGGGCTTCCTTCCTCCTCTGCTCCTCACCACCTCTGAGTCCTCAGCCTACAGAGATCTCTGAACATGGCCCGGCTCTCTGCCGCCCTCATTTGGCAGAGTCGGCCGCCTCGTGCACGGTCTCACCGTCCTGAGTCGGCCCTGAGTTTCTAGTGAGCCCAGAACCCCCGGAGAGCCCCACCGCGCCATAGCCACCCGCAGCCTTGCATGGAGGCCAGCCTCAGTAACCGTCTGACGGTCATGGAGGGCAGGGGTGATGAACTGGTTGACCTGCGCATCATGGCTGGTTTATGAAGGCAGACTTCTCTTCTGTCTTGTACCTCCTTTCCCCTTCTGTCATTAGAGCCCCCACATCCAAGAAAGGCTACAGCTGCAAGTTATTTAGCAAAGCTTAACACTGAACCTGTAAGTGTTTTGCCCAGCACATGCTTGTCGCCAGCAGGAACTGGTAGGGGTTGAGGAAGGAGATGAGAGGAAGTTGGCATCTGGGCCTGTGGCAGTGAAACCACCTCACACGAGCAAAATGCTAAGTTCAGTCTTTCTCTGCCCGCGGTCTTCACTTTTAAAAGTTGACGTCCCAGGGCGCCTGGGTGGCTCAGTTGGTTAAGCGACTGCCTTCAGCTCAGGTCATGATCCTGGAGTCCCGGGATCGAGTCCCGCATCGGGCTCCCTGCTCAGCGGGGAGTCTGCTTCTCCCTCTGACCCTCTTCCCTCTCGTGCTCTCTGTCTCTCATTCTCTCTCTCTCAAACAAATAAATAAAATCTTAAAAAATAAATAAATAAATAGCATCATTATACATTAAAAAAAAAAAAAGTTGACGTCCCAAAGGCTCTTATCAGTGTCTCCTGTGACATTGACAGTCGGTTTCACACTCAGCCCGTATTCCCATTCTGCGGATGAGTCAACTGAGTAACTTGTTAGAGTAACTTGTTAAGTAACTTGTTAGAGGGGTGCCTGGGTGGCTCAGTCGTTGGGTGTCTGCCTTCGGCTCAGGTCATGATCCCGGGGTCCTGGGATCGAGCCCCACATCGGGCTCCCTGCTCCTCGGGAAGCCTGCTTCTCCCTCTCCCTCTCCCCCTGCTTGTGTTCCCTCTCTCGCTGTCTCTCTCTCTCTGTCAAATAAACAAAATCTTAAAAAAAAAAATGTAACTTGTTAGAGATCATACTTCAGAGGTCAGCTTTGCCTGGGTCCCAAGGGAAGGCTTTTCCCCTGCATCTGTCCCCACCCTCTGGGACCCTGGCCTCCCTCCCTTACCGGTCACATCCTTCTCTCTATCCAGTGATACTCTGAACATTGTGGCATCAGATCACCGGCCTTTCACTACGAAGCAGAAAGCTATGGGCAAGGAGGACTTCACCAAGATCCCGCATGGAGTGAGTGGTGTGCAGGACCGCATGAGCGTCATCTGGGAGAGAGGAGTGGTATGTTCCAGGGACCCCTCCCTGCTCAAGTCCTAACAAGAGTTTTCACTCTTTGGAGGGCTGCGTCAATGGCTCCTTGTTTCACTCAAAAACAAAACCACAAAGGTCTTCCCCGCCCCAACACCCCCACCCCCACACTCCCGCAAACAAAAAGGTAGTATGGCCTATTATAGAAATTTGGAAAATACAGAAAAGTATTAGGGGAAAAAATGCCCATAATTCCATTCTGAGAAATTAAATGATTAATATTTTGATATATTTACTTCTAGTTCTATGTATGTGCTGCATGTTATTTTAATAACTGGGTTCATCGTTTTTTTTCATATAACAGTCTATCTTGAGTGTTTGCCTATATCAGTAAAAATTATTTTAAAACATCTTTTTGATTAGCTAAATAACATTTCCTCCAAGGGAAGTACCACATTTGTTCATCCTTCCCTGATGTTTGGAACTTTGAGCTGTTTCAAAATTTTGCACTTACAAATAATGCTGCAGAGAATTTCTTTGTTCATGAGTGTATGTATTGTCAGCATTTCTAATTATTTCCTTAGGGTAGATTTCTAGAAGCAGATTTCTGGGCTAAAGGATATGGACGTTTTTAAGGCTCTTTATATATTTTGTCTAATTGCTTTTCAAAAAAGATAGGGACCTAGGACTTCATTTGAATACCACCTGTTCTCCCCATGAGGAATAAGTATTTTTGGTCAAAGTATGAGCCTAAGGAGATCTGAAGTCCTCAAAACTAAGCCACCAGCTCAGGGGGGCACAGGAGTGGCTGAGGAATCCCCCTTGAAGGGAGTCCATGGTTCTCTCACTGGTGGGTGAGGCAGGAAGATGTTTTTGAAGAGAACAGAATATATGTCCCTTTGTGGATGAAAGGAGGCTACCGACCCATCCGTAGTGAGCATATGAGTAGAGCTGATTGTACAAACAGGAGGTAGATTTCCACTGGGTAGACAGCCTTTTGCAAAGGGCCCACTCACCATTGTTGCTGGATGAAGGAGTAAGGAGTGAGCAAGGGCTGAGGACCAAGCCAACCAGGTTGGCTTGATAGACATGGTGCCCACGTCATTGTCCTTCTAGGCACCATTGACCCGACCAACTAAAAGGCCACAGGCCCGAGGCAAGGGTGACCAGGGGTTTGAGGCACACGCAGGGTTTGGTTGACTTGACACTCCTGCAATGTTTCAGGTTGGAGGAAAGATGGACGAGAACCGTTTTGTGGCCGTTACCAGCTCCAATGCAGCAAAGATTCTCAACCTGTATCCCCGCAAGGGCCGCATCATCCCTGGAGCCGATGCCGACGTGGTAGTGTGGGATCCAGAAGCCACCAAGTAAAGCCTGCTGCTAGCTTCCAGGATGAGAGGGACATGGGGTTTTAAGGAACTTATATGACAAAACTCCACAAGCTTATTGTCTTTGCCCTGCGTTTAGCATAGCGAAGTCTGACCCTGAGGACCTGCCATGGTCTGGGCACTAGGAATACTGCAATGAACAAGACAGTCTTTTTTTTTTAGAGAGAGAGCGAGAGCAAGTGGGGAAGGGCAGAGGGAGAAGGAGAAAGAGAATCTTAAGCAGGCTCCACATGTAGTGCAGAGCCCGATGCAGGGCTCGATCTCACAACCCTGAGAGCATGCCTCAGCCGAAATCAAGAGTCAGATGCTTAACCAACCCCGAACCTGCTACAGTGCATCTCCATGTGCACAGCTCTTTACAGTATTTCAAAGCGGCTTCACATCAGTGAGCTCATTTGATTTCCATGAAGCCCCAAGAAACACTCATGCTAGAGTTTTCATTTCATTCATAGAGGGTTGGTTTCATCTGAGGCCTTTCCCCTTGGGTTGTAAATGGCTGTCTTTCCCCTCTGTCTTCATATGGTCTTTCCTTTATGAGTGTCCATGTCTGGTGTCTGAATTTCCTCTTCTTATAAAGACATCAGTCAGATTGGATTAGGGTCCACCCATATGACCTTTCCTTTTGAAGAAGCTAAGACCAGAGAGTAGAGGACTCCCCACATCACAGAGCTACGAAGCAGTTGAACCAGACGGATACCCTGACACTCCAGGCTCTCCCACCCGCCCCCTGCTTCCCTCCTGGAGGGTGTTGGGTACTCCTGAGTGCACAGTGCTCAACAGCCACAACATTAATGACCACAAGCTGAGTGAATATATGGAGTGTCTCAGTAGTCACCATGCCACAGGATACAGAGCATGCTTTTTACTCAGAGATTCGGGCAGGGGAGATGGAAACCGTTTTTTCATATTAAATTTCATTCAATCACTCAACAGATTTTTAAGTGCCACTCTTTCCAGGCACTTTTCCAGGTACACAAACTAGAAGTGACAAGATAGGCAAACATTGAATAGAATTTTGAAAATACAAAGTTGAATTGAAAAGAAAGCCAACACTATGTACCACCACCCACCCTGATGCCAGGGTACCCACGCTGTCTTCTCCATAAGAGCATTCGAGAAGCTGTGTTCTGCATCCTGATGCCTGGGGCTGGTCCCTGCTGCTGTCAAGGTGTGGCTGTCATTGATTGCTATTGGCAGAAAAACCCCTAGAGTTTAGGGGCACCTGGCTGGCGCAGTTGGTTAAACGTTGGACTCTTGGTTTCGGCTCAGGTCATGATCTCAGGGTCGTGAGTTTGAGCCCCGCATCGGGCTCCATGCTCAGCACAGAGTCTGCTTGAGATTCTCTCTCCCTCTCCCTCTGCCCCTCTGCTCGTCCTCTCTTTCTCTCTCAAAAATAAATAAATAAATCTAAACACACACACACACACACACACACACACACACACACACACACAAACAATGCTAGAGTTTAGCCCAGTTGATTAATTTCCTGGGGCTGCCCCAACCCTACCTCAGACTGGGGGAGCTTACACACCAGAAATTTATTTTCTCAGTTCTAGAGCCTAGAAGTCCAAGATCAAGGTGTCTGCAGGGTTCAGGAGGGTTGGTTTCATCTGAGGCCTTTCCCCTTGGGTTGTAAATGGCTGTCTTTCCCCTCTGTCTTCATATGGTCTTTCCTTTATGAGTGTCCATGTCTGGTGTCTGAATTTCCTCTTCTTATAAAGATATCAGTCAGATTGGATTAGGGTCCACCCATATGACCTCATTTTACTTTAATTAGCTCTTTAAAAGCCCTATCTCTAAATGTAGGCACATTCAGAGACTGGAGGTGAGGACTTAAGTATATAATTTTGGGGGGTAATATAATTCAACCTGCAACAACCAGCTTTGGGGGATCATTCCTTCCCACTGAGCATCTCCCCTTCCCACTGAGCATCCCCCTTCCTACTGAGCATCCCCCCTTCCTACTGAACATCCCCCCTTCCTACTGAGCATCATTCTTTCCAACTGAGCATCTCCCCTTCCCACTGAGCATCTCCCCTTCCCACTGAGC